ACAGGAAATATTCAAAACTAGCAAAATATACTGGTTTTCGCGGGCTTTTTTCTTATTCAATGTTAGTAAAAGAGGAAAACATCAATTCTATTGACATCACGGTTTTTAAGATTATAATTTTTAATGTAATTCATTCAATTTTTAATGAAATACTCCAATTTTCTTACATTTTAGTTTATAGTACATTGTTGTTTGACTAGTAAAAAATGTGGCATCGCCGACGCTGCAAACTGTTTTAAAAATACTTTTATGTGTTGAAAATTTCCTTCATACTTCATTTCTTTTATGCCCAGATTTTGTTCAAATGTGTTCTTTCAGTATCTGGCATTGGACGTACCAATGAATCGTAGTAGCTGATAATGGTATACTTCCGTTCAAAAGTTCCCAACACCCAACGGCCGTGTATGTTATCCTGTGTACCTCCATACAGGATATGAGCGGGTCTTATTTCAATTTCAAAATTATACAAGCCATAAATACTTGGAGGTTTAGATTATGATAATAGTTAAATTTTAGTACCGTTACCTTTTTATCCGTTTTGATAATATGCCCATAAATTAACATAGCACATTTACATAAGCACAAAGGCAAAAATGCTGATCATTCTCAGTTAGTTCTAAAACTTCTGACTTTTACTACTGCATTTGATTCTTCCCCGGATATACTTAACACTTCCACATTTTCTGTCCTTATTTTTGAAGATTTTTAAAACTTCACAAACTTGGTCTAATTTGTGTTCACTTCTATTTCCGCAATTGCTATATTAACCATTTTGTATGCGAATCTAGCTTTGCATGCGAATCTAACATTAAAAGTGACTGTTTTATATGTTTTTGTGAATACGAAGTTAGTTATGTTTAATAAGAACACGTTGTGGATTCATTTGAAAAACGGTATTTGCTCACTAACGTAAGAACAGAAAACTGCGAAGTCGAAGACGACAACGTTCATTCATTCTCTACCAATTCTCACAGTTTTGGTTTCTCAATATTCACTTCAGATTCTTTAAGTTTAATAAGTTCCGAGTTGACCCCAGATCAGAGGAAATTGCAAGTGTGTTGATGTCTAGTGTATGGTCGAATATGCGTACCATTGGGGCGTTAAGAGTAACGGGCTATTGGGTGGATAGAAGAACTAGAAAACAATTCTTATGAATAAAAAAAATACTTCGTGGTTTGTTGTTGACCTCCCATCCTAATTGGTGTTCTCTAGTTACCGGAATGGCATTAGCACGCCATTGTTATTATCAAATTGCAATAATGTAACATGGACCGCTACTTTTGCTTTCTCTTCCTCAACGTATTATGCGGTAAAGAGAATATATTGTAATGGTGCCGCGGAAAGTGGCAATTTTTCGTTAGAAAAGAACTAGTGATGCAATAGAATAACACAGACATTCTCGTACAAGCTAGTTTTCTATTTTCTTTGATCTGGGCTAGCTTTTTAGTCTTGCCTCATACTCTAGCCAGCAGCCACCTATCACAACTCAATGTACATTTTTTTTTGTTTTCACAATTTTTCGATCACTAATGGTCGAACCGAAATATTAGTTTATAAATATTGCAAAAGAGGAAAGGCTCGTCCTATACAGAAATTTTCGGTAAAAATTATTACTGATTTCGAGAAAATGTTTCTGATTTAAGCTGATTTAAGCGATTCTGTAAATAGGAAGTTTTCGAGAAAATTCATTGGAAATTATTTCACGCACATTTATTCAGAAATTCAATAATGTGTTTCGAATATTGAAATAATTTATTATACGAATTATTGTATAAGAAAATCTGTGCCACTGTGAAGGACCAGTAGTTTTGAATTTTTAATAGAATACTGATGCAAGTCAATTTGCAAACGTGTGGAATCTATGTTTCGTATTTAATATATGTAAGTATGAACAATACAGCAGATGCTCACATTGCATTGTTCATTTCTTAGTTAAAGAAAAAAAATGTACAACTCTGAAGAATTCTCACGATTACTCACATAAACACAATTTCAGAGATACCTGCCGGAGATCAGGCGACAGACGTCAAATCGGATGCTGGGGTGGTAGCGTCTCAACACGATGCATCGAAGGAACCTTCCATGAGATCAGGTAAATGGTGACGTCACAACATTAGAAGTTGTGGACCGGCAGTTAGTAAAGGCAGTGACTGAATAATAAAACTACCGCGCGCCAGGAAAGTCTTTTCGCACATATGCGAGTCGGAGTCTGCTACAGCCTCCGCTTCCGCCCTCATCTCCGCAGTCGTGCGCGGTCCTGGTATCGAATGAGTCCCGTCAGCTCACCCCTTCCTACCCCGCCGCCTCTGCACCACCCCTCGGACGGCCCCGGCGCTGCCACGCGCTCGTCATACCTACATGACTTCTTTTGCTAGCACTCTCACCAGCCCGAAGACACTGCGGAGAGACTTACCTTGTACACTGTCTTACTTAATGACTGTGCGAATTTTGTTATAATTATTCATATGACGGTATGTAGCAAGCAGTGCTGCTCAAATTTTGACTACATATTTGTATTAAAAAATTGTATTAATGTGATAAATATTCCTAATACAGTTCATATAATGCGTTATTTAACTATACTTATATTATTTGTTTTAATAAATAGTGATTATTGAAAAATGACTCTAAAATGTTGAAACATTTGGTGACTATATAGCTTTGATAATGTATATTACATTTTTCTCACATTTTAATATATAATACTTAAACGTAAGTCCGTAGCAAGAAAGAAACGAAATTGTGGATAAAAGGAAATGCCGTAGATGTCGCCACATATCGCCTCTAGTCGCCACAAATTCTCTCCGTAGATGCTGGTGTAATGTAATATCAATTTATAGTTACTTTTTCAGCGCTCAAATCAAGATTATCAGTTTGTTATGAGTTTTCCGAATGTTAGCGAATAGTATGTGTTCGTAACAAACGCAAACAATTGTACCTGTGAAACCTGACTTTAGCGGTCTGTAGTAGTTTAGAAGTTGGTCATTATGACATGGTTGGGGGCGTTAAAACATATTACCGCTTATTGGTGGTATTGAGAATGAGGGAGCATCTGATCAATTTATTCTCTTCGCAATAAAGATAGTACCGTTTCTGAAGGTCTTTTTTTTATTTACACTTCATCTACGAGTACCGACAGTTGTTTTGCGCATGCACAATTAACTCCTCCTATTTTTGGCCTTAATTTCTTGGGGTGATTTCTATTGTACAATTTTCAGGAAGAAAAGCTTAGCAAACGTTAACAGGGAACAAAAGTATATTATCTTGTAAAATCACACCCTCCTAATTTGTAAACAAAAAAAGAAAAAAATATTACAAAATTGAAACTGTCGAAAATAAAATGTTGGCCAATCATTCATCCAATAACCCAATGACGACAATTATTTTTTTTCAAAATACACATTTTCTTTAGTATCAATATTGATATTTTTCATCTAGATGATGGAGCCGATATCGAATAAAAACAGTGACTAAACAATTCCTGCCACAAAATTTAAATATAATTTTCTGTACGAATTCAAAAATGGACGAAGAAAAAAGTAATTCACTTCTATTGATGTAAATATGTGTTTACGCCCAGGTGCGCAGCCACAATCAATCCACTCCCAGCAACCATCATGTCATTCGCAGCAACCGTCATTAAGGTCTTGCCCGTCAGAACGACCCTGCCCATCGAGGGATCCGTCTGTACGGTCAGGCGCAGGGGCTGCAGTTGCAGAAGGTACGGAAAGCAAACAGTTTCTATTTCATTGAAACTACGTGAAATGTTTTTCTTCGGCACTACAAGGACTAGGCCGCTGCCGGTTTCGTACCATCTTCTCGGGATCTTCCTACACTCCTTCCTGTTGGGTTGTATTGTAGCACTTGTTTAGGTAGCCTATTTTGCTTCATTCTTTCTAAATGGTTTTTCCAATTTTGTTTATTTACTTGTATAGTATCATTTCAGCTACATATACTCAAGTATTTTCGTATATCTTCATTTTTTTGTTAACTAGGTAAGGTTTTACTCTCCTTACAATTTTCATCTCTGTAGCATCTCTCCATTAAAAAACCATGACCTTTGTTTTTTGTTTTAATATTTTCTTACTATAATTTTGGAACCACTCTCAGAAAAGCGATAACCCCCCACCGTGGTCAATACTCGTATATAGGGTATACTGGAAGGGAACAACGAAATTGAAAATTAACTCTTCAGTCAATTTTAAGCATATTTTGTCTCATAAACTCCTTCGTAAATTCGAACGGCAGAGCTGTAAGAAGCAGTCAAAAGTTGGTAACTAAATATATAATTTGTGAACGTCTGTTTGTGCACAGGTTCGCTGCAGCCGTCAGTCCACTCCGCCGTACCATCGCAGCAACCAGCAGGTAGATACAAAGAAATTAAAAAAATAATATTTTTGTATTAATATGAAAGTTATTAAAAGTATTAATTATAAAATTGTTCTGAAAATAAAAGAATCTCCAAAACAAATAATGTTGAATTCCCTCAGACATTAACATCCGTTGATTCGTAGGGACCAAGGAGCCATCAATGGCATCATGCCCATCATCCTGCCCTCTACCCAATTGTTTTTTGTTTTAATATTTTCTTACTATAATTTTAGAACCACCCTCAGAAAAGCGCAGATACCCCCCCCCCACCGTGGTCGATGCTCGTATATGAGGTGTTCTGGAAGGGAACAACGAAATTGAAAATAAGCTCTTCAGTCAATTTTAAGCACATTTCGTCTAATAAACCCGTTCGTAAATTGGAATGTCAGAGCCGTAATTAGCACTCAAAAGTTGGTAACTAAATACATAGTTTGTGAACATCTATTTTTGCACAGGTTCGCTACAGCCGTCTGTCCACTCCGGCGTACCATCGCAGCAACCAGCAGGTAGATACAAAGAATTTAAATATATAAATATATATAATATTAATATAAAAAATTATTAAAAGTATTAATTATAAAATTGTTCTAAAAATAAAAGAATCTCCAAAAGGAATTATGTTGAATTCACAGGATCCAAGGGACCGTCGATGGCATCATGCCCACCATCCTGCCCCGCATCACAACGGTCAGCGCAATCAGGTACGTTTCCCTGGAGTACGTTTCATTTAGTTTAACGTCTCCCGAAACGAGACTTTCTTTGAACCAGGGTTACAACACACCAAAACAATGTAATTTCGAAATATGTTCATCTAGACAGAAACCTGTTTGTCACCATTTCTTTCATTTATTCTTCTTTCAAATCTTATGAACACACATTCCTTTCCTGTGTATTTATTCGTAAATATTATATCATTATTATATTTGTGAATATCTTGATGTACTGACGAACCATTGGCCAAAAGAAGGCGGGGTGTCTTCAGGGAACCCCGCACGAGCGTTGAAAGAGGGCCACCGAGAAAAGGAGCGCCACCGTCTTGTGTTTTCTCAAAACGTGGGTCCTTTACAAAAACGATAAAGATTACCACTTACTTTGTGAGAGATGTTTGGAATAAATCGAGAATCATCTTTTATTCATGTGTAAATGATGTTTGGCTAGAATTTCGAAATATCCTTGTTTTACGTGCTTACAACGTTATACGGATAACGTTAGTAGAATGGTTGTGTTTATTTTCTTATTGATATGATTCCTAAAGCGCATATCAATTTTGAAGTTCGGTTTTCAATTTTTTGTATGTAAATGACATATAGGTTCAGATGTTTATTAATATCCTATCAGATTTGTTATTTATGTATTTATTTATTTTCTGTTAAGCAGATAATGCTTTTTAGGAAGTTGGACTGGTACAATATATATATATATATATATATATATAATTATTATATTGGATTTTTTATTATAAATGTTCTGTTCTTATTTTTCTTTTAGCTAATTGTGACTTTTGCTTGATGGTGATTATACTTCTTTATAATTACTGTACATATTATTTTGCCGCTATTTTGTCTTAAAAGGCTTTGAATATATGCATCATGAATATTTTGTCCAAAGACCAGAGTAAAATTGCCTATGGAGGTCGAAAATCGTCTTTAGGGAAAAGGGAACGAATTAAGTTTCTTGAATTTGTGGATTTGCGAAGGTTGAAAAAATAGATAAAAGGGTGCGTCGAGGTAATATAATGTTTTTTTCTTATCATGTGTAGATATCGTGAATTGATTGCGTCCGAAGTATCAGTTGAATCAGAAATTCATGATTCAACACAAAAGGTGATAAAATAAAATTATATCAAATTAATATATTAAATATTTACATTATAGTATTATATTTTACTTGTAATTTCGTCTCATAGAGCACCGCGGTTAGGTAAAACCACTACCCCAAGGCCTTTCTTCGCCTAGAAGCTGGAACCCTCTCGTAGCCTGACAGGGAGATCAGTGCATCAATTAATCTCACTGCTGTGCCTCTGACTGGGAGGTCCTAGGGTTCGAGAACAATGATAAATTTTCAACACTAACTTCACAGCTATGTTGAATTCAGGCCACCTGCTCTATAGTTTCTCCTACCAACATGGCGAATTCCGGAGTAGTACCTAACAAAGGGGCCACAAATCGCGCGCGATGTTCCTTGTTCTTTCCTCACCCTGTACTTACATTGTCATGCACTATACTACCACACATGTAGAGAGGTCATTGGGAGCTTAGGGCTTATACTGGCTGGGCATTTGCCCCATCCAGTACCGGATGGGGGACGTACCTAGTTCGGGGAAATACCTGAATATACTTGGTTGAGGAAAAAAACATAGGTCGGCGCCGTATCTCGCCAGTCGGCGAATGAAATTCACCGCCACCTCCTGCGATGAAGGCACACACTACACTTAAGGAAGTAATGAACATAGCAGTTGACTGGCCTGTAATTATCAATCCATCAATCTCTACCCCATTGATGCATGAGCGCACCATCCGGTAATAAATTCCCTATTTGCGGTACACAATTTTTGACGTTAATTACCATTTTTTGCATTCACGATAGTTCATTCCAAGAAAAAAATTTTTTTTTTCAATATTTCGTTTCGTAACCGAAATCGTTGCAGATAGCAATATGACTATTGAAATGAACTTTTGCGAACTTAAATTCATCGGACATCGTTTGTCTGCAGGTGCACAAGATGCGGCTCGTCAGATGTCGGAGGACATCGTGCAACGGTCGATGACCATGGGGGACACGGCGAAAACGCAGGAGGCGGTGGACGCGGCCTCGATGCTGTCGGAAGAGCTGGTCGAGCGGTCGTTGGAGCAGAGCGACGCGCAGATGAAGGGCAAGCCGCCCTGCTCCTGCTCCAAGACGCGCCCGCCCTCCGGAGGTAGGCCGCCGCGGCGCTGCTCACGCAACCATTCACGGTTTAAACGGACGGGCGGTGCGATATCTCAGCGGCCACTCCGTTGCCTCCACAGTACGGCCCACTGGCAGGTTCTAAGGTTTGAGTACCGAGGGTTGAAGATGTTAACTTCCTCGCTACCGCGTATGCAGTAGAGAGAAAGTTATGTGATTCGCCGCGTAAGACTTTGATTGGCAGAAAAACTCATAGCACAAGACGCGGAAAACGAAAAAGTGGATAAATCCAGTCGATAAACGTATGAAACAAATCCTCTTAACAAGTGTTGTGAGCAGAATTAATATTTTGTGAGTCCTCTACACGGAAAAATTGTTTGACGGTGAAACGTGTGTGCTTTCGTCTGAGAAAAACCCTAGCGTCCAGACACATTCCTCCAAAATTGCTATTCGTCTATATATCTGGCTGATGTCGCAGCTTCTTGCATTTTAAACTGATATTATAATTTTGAAACGTACTATTCATTAGGTCTAGGGACATTTTCCAAATTTAAAAAAATGGCTCTATTATTTTTTATTATATTTTTTGTTGAATGGTGTGAAGGGTGTTTACGAGAATCGTCGGTCTCACTTTCGTTGAAAACTTCAATTATTCGAAAATTGCAAAAATTCATAAGATTTACGACGTCTTCCTAGAACTACAATTATGAAGACAGATGTTTTTCCTCAGTGGAATCTGATCCTGGAAGATAAAGTGTAAAATAGGATCCTGTAAATGTTTCAAAAATGTGTGTACTTTTCCAATAATTTTGCTTGAAAAACTGGTGTGAAAGTAAGTGATGTTTTAACACCAGTAGTTTAATCTTGTTTGGACAGCTGGATAGAATTAATCTACGGCTTGGGGAAGAATTACTGTGACCTGAACACCACGGCAGTATCCTAACAAACGCTCTGCTGACAGCGTACCATCTTTTACGCGGAGGGGATCGTGGCTACGTAGGTGCTCACGATCTCTGGTAGAGAGTTGTATACCACCTCCCGGACTCCGAGTTTTGCAGCGACACTCATGTCGATAGCTTCGAGGTGGAGGCAGAGGGTAGGCGATGCTAAGCTCTTGGAGGTCGGGCTTGCCCGACCGATGGGCCTAAGACGCATCGATGTATTGGCAGGAGTGAGTGAAGGAGATTCATTAAAATGCTCTGGAATCCACATACACTAGTCCGGCGGGAACCTAAAACAATCCAACAGGTTGCCTAGGTTTTGGCGATACGACAACAGCCTAAAGATGTCCGGTTTTTACAGGTCTCCGCAGTAGGTAATTACCGAAAACTAAAGAGTCAAAATATATTTTGACAAATAGTAGCATTTCTGACATAAGTAGAAAGTTATTATCGTCTGTAATTAGGGCATTTTGAAAAGTGGGGCTACTTTCGGCTTATACTTTTGGTTCATCTCGCATAGTTGGCAGTTTAAATGCATCAACAGATATAACGGTATGTCGCCGGTAATTCTCGTTCATCGATAACAAATACCACTGTGCGTAGTCGATATCAGCGCTCTATCACGTTCAACCGCTGAGAGTAATTGCTATCAGTGATCTTTTTAAATTTAAAATTTTTATTCATAATTCTTCCAGGAAGGGTCAAATGAACTTTCAATGTGTACACTACGCGTGTTTCAAGATCCTCTATCTTCTGACGAAGTTACATAAATATCTGAACGTTTGGAGCGTGTGTGTTATACTTCTCTCATGTAATATTTTCTTTGACTATACCCGTACGTAGGCTAACCAAGTTCAAGATTCCTCGTAATAAATATTACAAACTATTGGCGCATGCAAGTGAGTGACAATGATCATTATTTGCCAAAAGAGGTAAAAACGTTCGTGATACGAAATTAAGTGTGTGAGAGCTGCCCATGATTTAAGGCACCCCTTCTTGCTCTGATGGGCAAATAAGACGAAATATATTCAGACACCCACGAGTGAAAAATGTTCATGAAAGCCTGCAGCGTGCTAAAAGTGAGACCATTCTCAAGTGTTCAGATAAAATTTGTGGATTCAACAAAGAAAACAAAATCATTTCGGGTAACCGCGTCAGCTAGTACTAACCCTCATGTATCATTAGGTGAATTGTATACTTGAAATAAAATAAAATAAAAGTAAGACTGATTAAGAAACTAGTGGTGATAAAACTGTACTAAAACTGGTATATTTTCTCGCCCTTACTTATCTTTAAGAGACAGTTTTCATTTAGGGAAAAAATCTCTACTTTCGTAATTAAAGTTGTAATCCCCCAAAACGTTTTTTTGCAATTTTCGAAAAATTATAACTTTTAACGAAAATGAGATTTGCACTATCCTCTTAAACGTCCCGCACCCTATCCAACAACAAAATTTAATTTAAATCGATGAAGCCATTTCTTAAAAATTTGTAAAAATTACAATGGTTTCATTCCCCAAAATGAAAACATCGGTTGAACGGTTTAACTTCTATCGTTGTTCACAGGCGGACAGACAGACTTTTTCAGCATCAAGAATCCACACAACATGGATTTTGGCTGGCCTACGTGTTAGGGGATTTTTTAGATTTAGCTATTGGATTTATCCGCATTTTCGTTACCAAATCCTATAATAAGTGTTTTTCTGCCGAAAATGCGCCGTTTTTTGGCGGAGCATTACAAAACTTTTTCTCTACTGCGTAAGTGGTAGACAATATTAGTAGTGTATGACAAAATCGCATTATAAATGTTTTGCGTCAGAATGTGACCTGCCAAAATTCCGTCTCCAATAGCTCTATAGCAATTAGAGCCAAATATCACATTTCTAATTCATATTTTTAGCCAAAAATGATCTACAACCGCTCTACTTGGCCCTAAAAGCTTGTAATTGTTTAAGAGTCGTAGGTGCGTTACTTGCAAATAAAATTTCTGTTATTCTGCACTGTAGTTGTAAATCCTTCCTTCTCCATAAATAATGACTCTCAATGTTTTGAAATACTTTTTGTACAAGTTTTGGGAGAGCATTGATGTAAACAGAATTTCCGATTCGGAGAGGCTATTGCGTGAGGACAGAATTTTATCGTTCTGCTGCAAGTTAAGATTCGATTTCCTGGGATCCAATAAAAACGTTGTAAGCACAAGCAAGAGTTAGAATCTTAGTACTAAAAATACCAAGAATAAACTTAAGTATCATCTGGGTGATATGGGTATCATGTGGGATTATGACAATTATGAAGCCTATGTTATATAGAAATATAATGAAGCCTTGCTGTACCTACTTACTAGTAGGTACAAGAAGTACATTATGTCGTGGTCTCAGATATTAAATAACAACGCACGGAGAATTGATAATTGAAATGGCGTGTGATAAACACTTGGCACCGGACGAAGCTTATTCCGCATCAATTACTTTCAAACACAAGTTTTGGTTCTCATTACAATTGACTTTTAAGGTTCGCTCCCATTTCCAAGGAGTTGCTGGCGTCTTAATCCAATGACATTTATTTATATGATTTGTTCAGTGATGTGCGTGGGAGCGCTATCATAGATCTTAAACCTAAACTTATACTAATCTTATAATCTACTATTTAAAATTTTACGCTACTTATTTACATTATTTACACACTTTTGTACTCACAATCTAGACTTACATACTAACACTGAAGTTTTTATAATCTGCCAGTCAAACTTACACTGGCTCTTGAGAATCACGGTTACAGTTACATATACCTCCCCTCCTCCCCACACACACACATTCACACATGCGCACGCACGCACTCGCACGATGACTGTCCGGGGGGGGCACGCGCACGGTTGTTCCAACACAGGCACTATGGATAACAATCATAGAATAAATATTTTAAAAACTGCATCCAAATGTCTGACTGCATATGAATTTATTTTTTTTAGTTGGAAGAGCAATGCCTGTCATTGCTGTAGAACGAGCGTCGAACGAGCCGTCAGCAAGATCATGTCATTCGCAGCAACCATCAGTTCATTCGCAGCAACCATCAGTCCATTCGCAGCAACCATCATGCCATTCGCAGCAACCATCAGTCCATTCGCAGCAACCATCATGCCATTCGCAGCAACCGTCAGTCCATTCGCAGCAACCATCATGCCATTCGCAACAAGCATCAATAAAATCTTGCCCGTCAGAACGACCCTGCCCATCAAGGGATCCGTCAGTCAGATCAGGCACAGGAGCTGCAGCCGCTGCAGGTGAGAAAAGCTATTACAATAGTTGTTATAAGAATTACTCGTAGTTTGTCGTGTCGAGGGGATACAACATTATTAAAATGTATTTGATTCAAAAATAAGTCTATCAACTAACTTACAAATTTAAAGACAGACAGAGTTTTTGTGGTTGAAACATTAAATTATAAAATGGAAGTTAAGTTCGTATGACATAATACAATTTAATTTAAGTCTTTTGCTTTACATTTTCATCATTTGTATCCGTCTATGTGAAGAGCGTGACAAAAAAACTATAATGCCTTGCTGATAATACAGTCAAACATTTCTTTGTTTTAGTGATATAACGAAAATTTTTTTTAAACCTTCTTCCGACTGTATAAAAGGCGTTCGATAAATATTTTGTTTTAGATTATTTTTACAAATTGACAATATTAACCTTAAGAAATTATATCATGCACGGACAAACACAATACAATTCATTTTTAGTTGCTTTGTTAAAAACTAACATTTGTAGAGCACACTCATTGATTGCAAACTCTTGTTTTCTCTGATAAGTTGAAGCCTTTTACGTAAGAAATCAACTTGTCCCTCAAATTCATTATCAACACAATTAGTAATATTATGTATTTCTACGTAATTGCTGATCATGAAGATACGCATCAATAAAATCGCTTGATTGATATAATTGTTAAATATTCGGGAGTAACTGATATCGCTACTCATTTTTTAATCGATTATATATTTTTATTAATTTTAATTTTTATGTCAACGTATAGATTTTTAAGACGTTTTCGAAATTTTTTACTTTTTATAACGTGTATTGCACGAGTCTTT